ATTTATTTTGTTTTGGGGGGGGGGGGGGATGGAGAAGCAGGAGGGGAATTGGAAGATAGATGAGGGAACATAGGGAGAGAGGGGAAGGGGGCGTGAAAAGCTGAGGAAGAAGAGGTTAGGAGGAGGAGGGAAGGGAAGAAAGATTGCTAAAATATGGGAAGGTGTTGAAAGGTTACTCTTTAACTAATTTGTTTAATGGAAATAAAATATGGAAAGGTTAATGCGACCATGAATTTTTATTTAAGTGTGGTGTACTGTTGATTGTTCATATCTATGCTTATTGTTTTATCTTTTTTAGTCATTGCCATTTTGAATGCCCCCTCAGTAGTTTGTCGTTTCTGTTTCATGAATGGTTTGGGGTACCTTGGTGTCCTGTTTTATTTCCAGTATTTCACTTGTTCTGTCCTGATTGGACTGTGCCTGTGGTAGATTCTACATCTGGTCTTGCCCTCTGTTGTTTCTGTCTATCTGGCTTTCTTTTTCTCTGCACACAGTGACCATAATTTTATCCTTGTGTTTTTCTTTTTTCGAACAAACATAATCTGTTGGGTAATTACGTGTCACAGGATCATGCCAACTCCTTTTGTTCTCCAAATCTATCTATATTGTCTCCTCATATTTTTCCCCTTCGTTGTTATTGCGGGAGGTTGGAGGGTGCCACTGGTAGGTCCTACTTCCTTACCTCCCCTCTGTTATTTCTGTCTGTCTGTATTGCCTTTTCCCAGCACTAAATGACTATTGTTGTGTGGATGTGCTTCTCTTTACTCAAACAAACCAACCAACAATTTCCCCCCACAGCTGGATGGTCTCAGCCCAGTTCTCTGTGGGACGTGGCTCCCGGAGCTGAGGGATTGTCTCCTGCCTACCAAGCACAGCTTGAAAAGTTGAAGAAGGTGAATGTCGTCAGTGGAAAGATTTTAGTTTTTTTAACAACTTTAACCCATGATTTCATAAAGATAGTATGAGGTACTCTGTAGATTTTCACAAAATTTCTATATATTCTTTACCCGACATTGTTTTTGATCATTTTGACGTTTTCTACAAATTTGCGAATGGACTCGTTATATATACATGTACTTTCTGACAACATTGTTTGTAATTTTAATTGTCAGGATCACCGTTTACTCAAGACTTATTTCTTTCCCTGATCAGGAAAGAGAGGAGGCGAGAGTGAAGGAAGAGCGCCTGAGGCAGGAGACGATTGAGCAGAAGCAGGCAGAGCTTAGAAGGCAGCAGGAGGAACTGGAACAACAGCGGGAGCAGATGAGGAGGGAGAAGGAGGAGCTAGAGAGACAGAAACAGCACGAGTTACAGGTAGATTGTTGTGAAGGTGGTGGTGGTGGTGGTGGGAGGGTTGCTGTAGTGTCATTCGCTGAGATGAAATGGATCTTTAACCGATTCCGTCCATTCGGCCGCTGACAGCGGCTCTGAGTTTTTCCGCTGTGTCCATTCGGTCGCTGTGAGCGGCTCAACGAAATCCGAAACAAATGTGCACTTTTTAACATAGTTCCCACTTTTTAAGTTGTCGAAAGGAAGTAGAACTTGTAAACAAACCTGACCTCAATCTCTGAGCGCCAATATCGATCGAAACTCCGCGAAATTCTTGCAAAAATCATTGTTTTGTTGTTGCGATGTAGGCTAGATCTAAGGGTAAACAACACTGAGCCTGGTATAATAAAAAGGCTCTTCAAAGAAAGATATTCAACTAAATTTGTGAAATTCTTGCATAAATATGTGCTAGGGTGATATCGCTACAATGTTGTGTTGATTCCTATGGATTATAAGGACTTGTAGAGCTGAGAAAATGCGGTAAGTCGAAATTTTCGAAGAGTTGTTGCGCAATTTTTTTTTCTCTTTCGTTTTTGTCATAAGGAAAATGCAATTCAAACAGATTATAGGTCATTTTTATTGATATAATCAGATTTTTCTATTTATTCCCATCACTTTGGTATATGACAATACATATTAGAGTAACTTAGAGCTTCACAGTAATGCGTTAAATAGATGCACCCCAGGTCTAAAACTGAACACTGAAAAAAAATTCTGTCCAGAGCCTGAAAAAATCATGGACGGAATCAGTTAAAGTTGTTTTATAGAGCAGAATTCCGGAAATGGAAAGATTTCCGTAAAAATTCGTGTAAAAAAAAATATTGAAAAAATTGAAAAAAGAATTATTTTCAAAAATGCGAACTTAAAAATTTCCGTTATTACTAATATTCAACAATAGCCAACCCATACCGGAAGTGCTCTTTTATTTGAAAGTGTAGACAGTGTCTTTCACTTTCACTTTCTAAAGCTCAAGAAGCAGAGCACCAGCTCTGTAAACAAGAGGAAGAAATGATGATTGTGGTTCACAATAGATTTTGGGCCTGCCGAAGAAAAAAAAAACTCTAAAGAGAGCTTAATTTTTTATTTTTTTTAACCAGACTTGTTTATTTGTAAGTATTGTTGTGGATTTAAGTTGAGTATAAGCTGTCAAGTTATTTAGATCTAGATCTAAGATCTAGATCAAGTCAAGCTGTTATACTATTATAAGGATTCTACACCTCATGATGATTATGGTGCAAACTAACACAAGCAGAAAAAAGTTGAACATTAACTGTCAAGTTTTATAGATACAGTATGGGTACAAGGGAGAAAGCATTGCTTTGGATTTAGAAATATCGAAGTGACTATTCGGACTGGAGTCCGAATATGAAAAAATGTTATGCGGACTCTGATTCTTGTCCAGCATGACATCACTTCCGACTTCCTGTGACTCGTGACTCC